TCAGCAGCAGTCCAACAATTCAGGCCGCCAGACACCGAATGGTATACTGGCGTGCAGCACACCCACAGCGAATACGCCCACAACGGCCCAACAGCAGATGTTTGCCGCCGTGATGGCCAATATGGCAGCTACGGCCAGTGCCACAGCGGCAGCAACGAGCGCCGGTAGCGGCAACAGCGGTGGCGGTAATCTGAACAACTCAACGAGCGGTGGCATAAACACTTCAGGGGGCAGCCTGAACAATGCGCAGAGCGGCGGTGATGACTTCCGTTGCAATCCGTGCAACAAGAACCTGAGCTCCCTGACACGCCTCAAGCGACACATCCAGAACGTCCACATGCGCCCCACCAAGGAGCCGGTCTGCAACATCTGCAAGCGGGTGTACAGCTCACTGAACAGCCTGCGCAACCACAAGAGCATCTACCATCGCAACCTGAAGCAGCCGAAGGCAGAGCCAAATGCCGTTGCCGTTGCGCAGACGCCGGGCAATAGCTACTATCATCAGCAGCAACAGCAGCAGCATCAGCAGCTGAACCATCACTCCTCCTCATAGGGTTTCATGTACTTTGACTACCATCAGCAACAGCAGCAGCAGCAGCAGCATCAGCATCATCAACTGCACCACCACCTGGCCAGCGCAAACTTCACCTCAAGCTGAGGGCCGCCTTGATATTAGGAATGTGTTTTTTTGTTAAGTTTGCCCCTCCCCTCCCCAACGATTTGTTCCCCCAATTCCAAAGTCCGGAGAAGGTCCCAAAAAACCCTAGCCCCACTACAATCCATAAGCGATTCAATCGATTGTATTTGAATACACAGAACATTGCACATTGAATATTGAATAATCTACATCAGAATACATACATACATACATAGATTCATAAGACACATAAACACCCACACACACACACACACACACAAATACACAGAAAAAAATACTTTAAAGAAGATTATGAAGGGAGAGAAAATGGTGCTTTTTAAAATAAAGAAGAAAACAATAACAACAAGAACAAGAACAGAAATAAAGATAAAGAAGAGAGAGAGAGAGAGAGAGAGAGAGGAAGGCAGGCAGATAACGAACAGAAAAAGTAACGAGTGAAGAGAAACGAGTACAGACGAGAGCACACGGACTTAGGCTAGTTACGAATTAGGAGTTGCTTTTTTTGGTAGTTTGCTAAGCACACACAAGGATACACAGTTTATACTGCAAATCGATAAGTACTACTAGTAGTTATTACCCCAAACACCCAACAACCTTTTTCAACACAGTCTCTTCTCGTTAGCTATATATAATCTAAATAACCCTTAAAGAAGGACGGACGGAAGGAAGGCAGGAGCAATGTTGTAGTGTAGAGCCCAAGGCAGAGAGGTGTGTGCCCCGTAGTGAATTCTTCGAAATGGCTTTAACTAAATAGAATTTAAACCAATAAAATATGAAAGAAATATTACAAAAAACAAACAAAAGGAGATGCAACTTTGGATGGGATGGAGAGCATGAAGGATAAAGGATAAAGGATAATGATGTTACGAATTATTAACTCTCTTTTTTACACTTAATATAAAGACCAAGATACAGTGTTTTTTTTTGTACACTTAAATTTACATAAAGAAATATATAAAATATATATATAATGTTGAAGAGTTAGAGAGTTAGAGAGTATATATAAACACACACACACACACACACACACGCCCATGCATGGATGTGTATGTGAGAAAGAAGAAGCGCCGAGCGATAGGGAGAGCGACCGACCGAACGACCGACCAATTGCAAAGATCTTTACGATAATAAACTAAATATAATTAACAGATTCTCTGAATAGTTTAGGGCTTAAGAAATTAACAAAGCAAACACACACACACACACACACACATAAACACACACACACACACACACACACGAATCACGATGCATATGAATAGATTTAAGGATACAAAAAACAAAACAAAAATGTTTAGTACTATATATGATTTTTTTTTCTCAAATTTATTGTGTATTTTGTAATGCGTAAGATATGCGAATATTAATTACAATCTTTTGACCGGATACTTTTCAAGAGTACACCTGTGTTCGTTAATTATTAGAATTTGCTTAAGAGTTGAAAGAAGGATTGAAGGAGAATGAAGCAAGATGCAAGATAACAGAACCCATAACCATACACCTTTTAAATATACATAAATACCAGCCCCCATTATCCGTACACTTAAGAACTATTATGAAACAAGCTGCAAAAAAAAGAAGAAAAAAAAACTAAAAAAAAAAAAAAAAAGATGAATCAAAATTGCAATAAATAAATGAAAATCTATATGTATAAATACGAAGCGATTACTGCGGTAAACAACCACCCACTAACGATTCTTTACAACAATTCATGAATTAATTACGAATAAATGTCTACACATGAAGAGGGAAAATATTTCATTTACCACAAGAAGAACAACATGAGATCGATCGATTGATTGGCCTCCGAGTTGAGGCACTCCATACCCCCCCAACCCCACTCATTCTATTCACTCTACTCACTAACACACTCCAATCCACTCACTTTATTCACAACTACTACTACTGCGCTCTCCATTCACCATCCATTCACTCAGTGTTGTATGCATGTCAATCGAGGCGTCAACCCCTTCTCCCCGTTGTGAAACAGAAGAATAAATCGAAAACCACCCACCCCCACCACCCCTCTCTCTCCCTCTGTCTCTTTCGTAATCTCTGGTTATCTTATCATCATAACATTGCCATAACATACATACAAACATACGATACATATCTACAAACACTTTTAGCTAGAAGATGGTGCAAGATTTTTGGCTCTGTCTCGCTCCCTCCCCGCCCGACGTTGTTTCGCTCCTTGCGTATGTGTGTGTTCCGAACTGAATCGAACTGAACTCTGAACTACAACAACCCCCCCCCACCCCCAACCCAATCAAATGCAGTTCCCCCCCACCCACATACACACCCGCCTTGCATACATACATACATACAAACCTGAGTATCCAGGCAGTCGTGAGATAAGTCGTGCCTTACCTCCCCCCCCCCATTTACTTTAAGCACCCCCCTGAAAGCAAAAACAACAACAATTACAATAACTAATACTAATACTTATCCCAAACAACCCGCCACCCGCCTCCTGTGCGTATCCCTCCCTGCCTCCCAACCACCACCATCATCGGCAGGCCAGCAGCAGCCGTTTAACAAAAATGCTAAGTATCTGAAACTAAGAGAAGCCCCGGACCCAGACCCCCACAGCCCCTAAACAACATCAATACCCCCGCCGCACACATAAACCAAACCAAACCAAACCAAATCAAACCAATTCGATGAAGCCTTGTACACTAAGTGTGACCCCTGACCCTGCCCAGCCATACCCCCAATCCCTATCCCGAGCACGTTTTGGTTCGTTTTTAACCAATCCCCCCACCACCAAGCGCCAAACCGAACCCCGCACCATATCCACAACCAAAGCCAAAAGCCCAACAGGCAAACGGTGCTGCGATTGAGTTTGAGAAAAAGAAAGAAAGAAAAAAAAAGAGACACTAGTGACAAAAACCGCAAGAAAAAAAAAATTGACAACTTGCGACCACAAAAGAGAGAAAGAAATCGAAAAATAACCCACAAACAAGAGAACAAAATCAAAAAAAAAAAAATAATACTAAAAACATTTTTATACATACAACAAATCAATCAGGCCAAAAACAAATGTTTCAAAATTTTGCTAAAAAAAAAAACTTAACAAACAATTGAGAAAATTCACAGAAAATTGAGATCGAATTCAAAAAATCGAGATCGAACAAAAATTGGTTTTAAAAATCATCCACGAAATTATCGATATTCACACACCCAATTGGTTACAACCACCACCAAAATTATCCAAACGACAAATTTAAACAAACAACAAAAGTTATGCCACCAAAATGGCACTGTGTGTGGCAGGTGGCAGTGGCAGCGGCAGCTGGTCTGCAGCTGCAACTGTCATCAGCAGCAGCCCAGAAGGCGAGAGTCGCCGCAAGGCAATCTCGAATTCCAAAAATCCGAATCAAATCGAAGCGAATCGAAGCGATGCCAAGCTTGCCTCAAGTTAAGCTCTTGAGAACCTTTCCAATTCGTATTTGAACAAATGAACAAATCACAAAAAAACTAGCCACAGCCAACAACCACAAACAGTCAACAAAAAAAAGAAAAAACCAAAAAGAAAACCGTTTTTATTCCTATTTTATTTCCATGCGTTTTGTCCCACAACTTTGGGAAACCAGAAAAAAAACCAACCAAAAAATTCGAAAATCGAAAATGCGAAATTGCAAACCGAATCTGAAATCTGAATCGAAGTATCAGCACAGCGTTTTTTGAACAAATTTCTTCGTTAAAATCGAAAAAAACCATTCGAAAAATGAGCGAGCTCCACACTCCGTAAAAAGAGAGAAACATTAAAGAGAGAGAGAGAACAAGCGAAAGTACAAGTAAAAGAAAGGAAAACAAAAACCAATATTATAAAAAAAAAACTAAAAAATTAGCAAACATTTTACATTGTTTTGAGCCTGGATTTGTTAGTGTTATAAAAGTAAACAAACAAACAAAAACAAACAGAAAACACAGACAAGAGAAACATGCACTGAGACAGAAACAGCAACAGAAACGTAGACAACAAACAAACACAGACAAGACAAACACAGGACACCACTCCACACCAGAGACAACAAATATAAAAGAAGCGACAAACAAAAAACCCAACAAACACAAACATTTACAACACTGACAGAAGCAACGCTCACAAAAAAAAGGACGCACAAAAACAGACAGTAAAACATTCAGAAAACACCTACAAAAACAGAGACAAAACGAAACAACAAACAAAACAAATACGAAACAAACAAAAACAAATACAAATACAACAACAACAACAACAACAACAACAACAAATAAATAACAACAAAGTCAATTATACAGAAAAGTCACTATTGTCTCTTTTTTTCTTCTCTTCCCTCTATATGACCGTGTTTAGGTGGCAGCACCGGTGGTGGCAGCCTACTCGGCGGCGTCATAGTGCCCGGCGGTAGTGGCAATCCTTCTAGTAATAGTAGTAGCAACAACCAACAACAACAACAACAACAAGTAGACCAACAACAATCATCACAACAACAACAACACCACCTCCTCCAACAACAACATCATTCCACACAACATAATCCACAACAACAACAGCAACAGCAACAACAGCACCTGCAACAACAACAGCAATTGAAACAAGAGCAACAACAACAACAACAACAGCAACAACAACAACAACAGCGCAATAGCAGCAGCGTTGGCAGCAGCAGCAAGCTACTCGCCCACGAAAGGGAAAGCCTCTCACGCTCCTCGCATGGCGGCGTCACTGATGGGCATGTGGGCACACCCTCGCCATCACCCCAGGCCTATCACAAGCGGGAGAGAGAGCGCGAGCGGGAGAGGGAGCGCGAGCGGGAGAGGGAGCGGGAGCGAGAACGATCGCTGGACCGTGAGCGGGACCTTGAGCCGCCGGGCACAGGATCGGGACCATCGTCACCGCCGCTGCCACCGCCGCAATCGCATCACTCACATTTCGGACAGCATCCGCTATCGCTGCTGCCCAGCCACCATCAGTTGCATGCCACGCACCACGAGCTGACAGCCGCCGCCCACCATGCCCATGCCCATGCGCATGCTGCCCATGCCCATGCCCTGGCTAGGGCGGGATCACCGCTCGAGCATCATCACTTGCTGCACCACCGACGCGCCTCGCTGTCTCCGTCGTCTGCCGCCGGCAGCAGCGGTGGCGGTCGCGGCTCGGCCGCCGGCGGGCCTGGGGGAAGTCTGCTGTCGTCCGTGAGGGCCAGCGATGTGGCACAGGCCAATCGGCTGCTGTTGCCCCTGCCGCTGAATGCGTGCCACCGATGCGATGTCTGCGGCAAGCTGCTGAGCACCAAGCTCACACTGAAGCGGCACAAGGAGCAACAGCATCTGCAGCCGCTGAACAACGCCGTCTGCAATCTGTGCCACAAGGTCTTCCGCACCCTCAACTCGCTGAACAACCACAAGAGCATCTACCACCGACGCCAGAAGAACCATCACTCGTACTTCCATCATGGCGCAGGCGTGGGCGGTGTCGGTGTCGGCCAGGCCGGTAGCCCGGGCAGCCGTCTCCATCAGTCCCTGAGCTCCCTGAGCGCTGCAGCGGCAGCGGCCAATAACAGCGTGTCAGTGGGTGGCGGCGGTGGCGGTGGTGCTGGTGGCAATGCGGTGGCAGCCGCCGCAGCTGCGGCCGCCGCTGCTGCCGAGCTTCTGCTTTCGCCCATTGTGGGTGCAGCGGCTGTGGCCGGGGGCACGGCCAGCTCAACGCTTCAGCTGGCGGCGGCGCACCAGCAGCAGCAGCAACAGTCGTCGCCGGGCATTGTCAAGCCGTGCATTGACTTCTTATAAGATCAGCATCAATTATTGCAGCAGCTGTTCCACGTTGCGCTCAACAACTCGGCAGCGGCTGCAGCGGCGGCGGCGGCAGCAGCAGCTGCTGCGGGACCACCGGGCACGGGTGCTTCCCCAGTCGGGGGCGGTGAGCCATACGGATCGGGATCTGGCAGCACACCAACCGTTGACCTCACGCAGTTGGACCACTCGGGCGGAGCCGGCGGTGGTGGCGGTGGTGCGGGCGGCTTTTCTGCAGCGGCAATGCAACTCCATCAGCAGCAGCAGCAGCAGCAGCAGCAGCAACAGCTCAGCCACCATCTGCCGCCCCATTTGTCGGCCCACCAGCAGCAGCATCACCATCAGCATCCGCATTCGCATCAGTTGTCCCACCAGCATCCGCATCAGTTGCCGCATCCGCATCCGCACACGCATCCCCCACACCCGCACCAGCACCAGCATCAGCATCAGAATCCCTATGAACGTATGAATTTATTAGATCAATAAGCGCGGCGCAGAAATATATGCTACAGAAAAATCAGTGGAGAGGAGAGGACACAACGAGAAGGATTGGGCACCTACACACACACACACACACACAGGCACACACACACACACGCACACACACCCAGCCACCACGCAAAAAGAGATGAAAGATGAGCAGAGGAAAGAAGAACCGACCGACCGACACGAAGAACTAGAAGGAGCAGAGCATTACAAAATGATAACCACCTTCTCCAGGATCATTCATTGATGATGATGATGCAGCAGCACAAGCGAGAATTTTGTAGAACTACTACTACTAACACTACCACGTACATATGTATTTCGGATCTCACATAGCGGAAAATTCAAAGACTTTTTCGGCAAGAACAAAAATACGAAAACAAAGAACAAAGAACAAGAAACGAGAGCGATAGCTATAGCGAGAGCGTGTAACGAGAGGAGAGAACAAAAACAAAAAGAAACAGAGAACGAGAACGAGAGAAAAACGAAAGGAAACAAAAACAAAAACATTTTTAGGCAAATGGAAAAACTGTGATTATTTACGACTTGATTATAAAGCAAGCAAAAACAAAAGTCTTTTATGATATATATACGCTATATACAATACATACGATACATCTAAAAGAAAGGAAAAAAAGGAAGAACGACGACACGGAGGAGGAACAAGCATATACAAAGAGTAGGAATCGCGCTGGAATCCTGGGGCAGGATAAAAACGTATAGATACATATACAATATAAGCATTTTTTTTTGTGTCGCATATCCCAAATTGGGATGCGAATAGAGAGGTTTGGATGGTCGTTAGAACTAGGCTAGGAGAAAGCATAAAGGAGAAAGGAGCAAACAAGGATACCTTTGGAGCACACACGGATTGAAGACTGTTAACCCACATCCACACACACACACACACACACAAACAAGCACACACACACACACACATGCACGCATTCATATTGAAGCACACGCAAACCCCCTGAGTATTACCCAACGAGGATCGTCAGACCGTCATCATCCTTCCACTCATTATCCAGAGATCCTGAGATCCAGAGTTACAGATGCGGATGCCACCCAAGGATCATCCAATCCCCATCCACCCATCAATGTGCAATGCGCCAAACATTCGATCCTTGACCACCCTCTACCAGCCCCGTAACCCCAAACAAAAACAAAAGAAACTTCTTCTCCGTACAACCATTCTTCTCAGTAGATCCACACACAAAAAGAAAAAGAAAACCACTAAAAACAAACTTTTTTTTTTGTTTTTTGTTATTTTTGTATGTATTATAGTAAGATATCAGAGATCTATATGTAATACAAGCAGCAAACATACATGCATAAATACATATGTGTAAATGTAGCAGCCACTAAAAATATTCATCAAATGAGTAGAAAAAAGGTCACTGAACCAGAAACAATATGAACTCTAGATCATAAGTAAAACTATATATGTACTATATATACAATATGTGTGTGTCATACGGTTTTTTTTTTGTATATGTCTACGAATACATTACCAATAGGTACGATATGATGTGTCTGCATATAGCTATAACTATACATATATAAATACGCATATGAATACGATATATGGATATGGATATGAATATGCATATTATATACCTACTAAGACTATGGACTCAGCAGCATAACGCATACCACAAGCATAAGGGGAAAACATTAATTTCATGAGGGAACATTTCCAGTGAGGAGAGGTGCAGTAACAGGAGCAGTAGTAGGACCAGGACCAGGACCAGGACCCGGACCAGGGTTAGGATGTAGGACAAGCAAACCGCTAAAGTTTATTTAGAGATCGAATCGGGGAGGGGGGCACTGTATATTTTTTGTCGTATGCTTTTAATCATTGGAGGAGGACTGACTAGGTTTTAGGCTGCCTTTAGCCCGATAAACAATATTCGGATATTGATAAATGCTTTACTTGATTAACGATTGGGCGACCACTGAAGCTGCACATCGATTTGGGGGCACTGTATATTTTGTTGTCGTAGGGTTTTGTTCATTGGAGCTGTTATCTCATGAGGACTGACTAGGTTTTAGACACCGTTGAGCCCGATTAAACAAAAACTAAACTAAACGATGAACGACTCTCATCGACTATCGATAAATGATTCGATTTACTTGATCAACTGATTACTTGAACAATACAATTGTTTTTGGGCCCTCAGTTAATCGATTTTTTTTTTATAAATATAAATATTAAATATATATTTTCCAATTGGCAGAATAATCAAAATTTAGCCCCTTTACTTTTGTCGCATTTTTGCATCCTTTTTACATTGATTTAAATGAGACTGATGATCCTTTGAAGTAGAACTTTAGAGAAAGGGCAAAACTAAGAACTACGGACTACACACAAACCGAGTGATCGAATAATCGGATATCTGATCGGATGGAAGGAGACCGAATCGGATCGCAAGGCGGGAAAGGCCTTATTATTTAAGAGCGTGCAATTTTCATACCGTGGTCAATAGCGTTAGGGAAAGGATATGGGGAGATGTGGGGGGGACTTTAGGTAATAGAGGAAGGAGCTGTAGCTGTAGCCTTTTAGTTAAAAGTAAAAGCCACAGGCCGAACGAAGTTGATGTATCTTTACATACAGAGAGGAGGATCAAGGATCGAGTAACGTGGAACGTGGAACGTGGAACGACGTTGTGTGCGAGTATAGTCGAATTTTATTTTTTATATAAACTTATTTTTGATTACCACCTAGTGTACGTACCCCCACACCCCTCCTAGCAACCCCACAGCTCTGTTCGCAGGGGGGATGTGTGGCGGCAAAGCAAATATATATTTATGTATATTTCCAATAATTTTTATATTTTTGGCAAGCGAAAAAGAAAAAGTCTGAAAAACGTTTACTCAGTTACGTGTTTTGATACCAAATTGATTGATTTATTAAGCTTATGCAAATACGAGTATACTTAATGTACTACTACCACATATACACAACAAACAACTATATCTATATCTGTATCTAATTTTAAGACAACCCGAAACCCAACACCCAACACCCTTGATTTGTTATGCCCCCAGCCCACCCCTCCCATACACGGAGAGTACCCGAGGAGGATCTCCATATGCAATGCCATATCTACCAATATATTTGTTATTTACACGAGTAAACAGCTTCCTTGTACTACAACTACAACTACAACTACTACTACTACTACTAAACGGGGAGTCTGGCCTTAGCCGGCTCATCCTCGGACCTCTGCAATGTCACATCGTTTTTTTTATTACGTTCAATAAATGGAAATGTAAATGTAAATTGTAAAACACAGCAGTATGAATACTATGAATAGCAGCAGCTGCGCACTTTAAATGTTGTTTGTGTGTACATTTGATGTAAACCAAAAAAAAAAACGTCATCAGATACTTTCTCAGATACTCAGACAGACACAGACCCAGAGACCCAGACAAACAGAATCGAACAGGATAAACCTAAAACTAAGCTGAGAAATGATTAAACTAACCGTAAACCATTTAACTACAAATAGCATATTGATTACTCCCCCAGATAGCAAACAGTAAGAGATCGAACGATATGATCGATAGCAAGCAGTAAGAAATCGATAAACGATAAACGATAAACCAAATACCAAATACCGAATACCGAATACCGAACAAGATAAAAACAAACACAGATTACCCGAATAAGCCGAATAGTTGATCCGTTTCAATGTATTTACTAAATATGTATATGAGTACTTTTGTTTGCCATTAACCCTCTTCACCCATCCACCACACCCCTCACTCCACTCAGCCCCTTGGCAGTTATATAAGCATACTCAAATACCGTATTATCCAATGAACCATTAGCTCCAAGCCACATAAAAGCTTACAATTACAAAATACAATTACAATTACAATACGCGAATATATAAGAAATAAACTCAAAACTACAGTAACTACCAGATACAAGATACAAGATACAAGATACAAGTACCGTGCAGTACCGTACAGTAAATACATAGTAAACAGTAACTACCTATTCATGGATAGAAATAAATACATACAAGCATACTACAAACGTCGAATCAAATAGCAAATCGGAGGATGCCAACAACCAAACAACCAACCCAACAATTGGAATAAACATAGAAATAGAACCGTTTGGAATGAAACACCGTTCCGTTCCGTTCCGTTTCGTTCCGTTTCGTTGCGTTGCGGGCCAGATAGAATCAAAAACCCAGTTCTCCAATACAGAACCCAATACTTATAGAGCTAGTAATAATTCCATTAACAATACCAAATACCCATTACAATATCCCCCTTCCCGTAACAATACCACATTTCGAATCAAATCGAATCATTCTTCTGCAAATGCAAAACAGTAAAACAATTCAGTTTTTTGACCCCCCTCTTAGATTGGTAAGAAAAATGTACATTTCGTGTCTCCTGTACGTACACAGCTCTGTATATAAGCACACAGTCTGCGCTAATAGGCAACGCACACTTGCATACATCCAAGTAGCAAACGAGAACAAAAAAACGTTTAAATAATTACTAATTTATATTCATGTAAATGTCGACTAGACACAACTCTAAGCAAAAGCAAAACCAAACACACCAAAAATCCAACTGAAAACAGAAACAGAAGGAAAACCCCCATTTATTTCGTAAAACAAATTCATAAAATCGTAAGGAAAGTTTTATTAAGATCAAAACTATGCAAGATGGAAGCACACACAGACACACACACAACTGACACACCCACACCCTCAAACAACTAAGAAGAATATGAAAAATATTTTCATAATTTAAAAAAAAGGAAAAACGAAAAAACAAAAAAAAGAACAAACCGATATCGTGTTATTATTTAAATAAATAGAATGTATATAAGTGAACAACTGTACGTGCTGACGATTTCTTTCTTTGTCTTTGCCCTCTGTCCTCTGACCTCTGTCTTTGACCCATTGACCCAAGCAACCACCCAGCCCCCTCCCCCCCTTTAACCCGTCTCTTTTGGGGTTGCCTCCGCCCGGGGAGTGTCGCTGTCTTTGGATCTTGTATCAGCTGTGGTGTGGCCATCGAATTTGGTTATAAAGGTTTATGGTAGATATCTCATCACATTACATCATGTCAACACCCTTCCAGAAATCCCCTCCCTAGCTGCTGTTTGGCGTCTTCGATATCTGTTCTACGAGGGTTGTTTTGTTGAGTCCCATTTGCTACCTCCTTACACACGATCGCTGCATTCACCCCACCCCCAACACCCACAGGCCTGCCTCAGTTCCCAACCCAAAACACTCCCAGCACCAAGCTCCAACCCCATGCGGTAACTGATAACCGATAACCGATAACCGTAACCGATAACCGTAACTGTTAACTGTTAAGTCGATAACACCCAGCCGCCAGTTATGTGTGTGTGTGTGCGCCGCCACCGCCTACCTGCATCTGCTCCTGTGTGCGCGGCATCGAATCGTATGATGCCCGCGTGCCAGGTGCCAGGTGCCAGGTTCCAGGTGCTAGGTCCCATGCGCCCCATGCACATCGACTGTGTTGGTTATTTTGTGTACCTTTATAATTACTATTTTTTTCCGTTATGTATGTACATGTAATGTTATTTGTTAATGTCCCTTTGCCATCATCATATGCCAAGACACACAGACATATGCAGTTTTTGTTACCGCCGCCGCCCAACCCCGACCCACTCTGTTTTTGGTACTCCACACTCCGCGCACTTGCGGATGACGAAATACCAACATATTTACGTATATGTGAACTGCATTCCATGCAGAACGCACACACACACACACACACACACACACACAACCCATTCAACATTTTAGCAGTAAGAATAAATAGAATGAGTATACGAGAACCAAACGAAACTCAAAAATGAAAAGTAAAATAGCGTAAACAAAACTTGTAGAAACCAAAAACAAAAACAAAAAAAACCATTTGAAGAACTCTACTAGTACAAAAATACCAAATACCAACCAAAATGCAAAAATCCACAACCAATTTACAGGAAATTCGCCCAAGAAACTCTTCTCATGTCAGCTGTGCGGTAAGCTCCTCTGCTCGAAAGCCTCCCTCAAGCGCCACATTGCCGACAAGCACGCCGTGCGCCAAGAGGAATATCGTTGTGCCATCTGCGAGCGGGTTTATTGCTCGCGCAACTCGCTCATGACGCACATTTATACCTATCACAAGTCGCGACCTGGTGAAATGGAAATGAAGGACATCAAGCTCTATAATCAATTCAATTCGTCAATCTGAGATTTAACAACATTGCCGGGCACGGCCAACAGCCAGGTGCCACAGCAAATAACAGCAAAGAAAGCAAACATAAATACAACCACGAATACGAATACGAATACGAACATGACAATGACACCGACTTTAAATGCAACTGCAACTACAACTGCAACTGACATGACAGCCCATGATCCTGGCTTAGGTTTAGGTGGGGCCTATCCCAAGCGACTCAATGACCAGTACCAGCTGCTCATACAGCAGCGACAAATCATGACACTCTACGACTACTATCTGTATCAGCGATCCGAGACGATCAGCGGTAATGGCAGTAGTCACGGGGGCACTTCCATTGCCACCTCGAGCATCTAGATCTAGAATCCCAACTCAAACTGCAACTCAAAACTAAAACTAATTAACTTAAAGCAATGCCATTTGTAGTGATATATATACAGAACATACAAATATACATACATAACTTACAAGCCTATTATACAAGACGAACAAAGAAGAAACGAAACCGTATTATACATATGTAGAGAGAGAGAGAGAGAGAGAGAGAGAGAGATGCCCTACAAAAAAACGATGACATATATGAATATGAGAGGAAAATACACGTGAGAGCGGAAAAGAAAAAGAATATAGATTAAACGCATATTAACGAACAAAAAAAGACATTAGACATTAAGTTTAGGTGTAGGAAATGAAATTATTTGGAGCACTTTTAGGACACAGTTGTAGAACTTTAGATTAGAACTTCATGTACATCGATGATCGCGACCTAAACGTAGTAGACTTGCTGACTTTTTCACAACTCATGCCTATGGACCATTATGAAAATGATAAACATTTGATGACATATGTTTATACACTCTGTGGCCTTCTTTATACCTTATACCTCATACAACGTACTCGTAGTCAATTTTACAATTAGAGCTCGGTTTTATTTTGTTTTTTTTTTGCACAAGTTGCCTTTCTAAATACTGAATACTGAACGTAACTACGTAATTTCCTTATTAGACCTTGGACAAAACAAAATACAAAAAACATAAACAGAAACAGAAACAGAAACAGAGAACGTGCTTTCTTCCACACATATACATTTATAAAGCAAAAGAAATATATCTATACATATATATATATAATTCGAAGACATATAATTAATAAATAAATTAATTAAATAAAACACACACACACATAATAATCATAAATGTAAGTCCCAGTTTGCCGGTCGATCTTGTGCTTAGTGCTATAAATGTTGCTGTAACAACGTCGTGGCGTGGCGTGGCGTGGCGTGGCAGGGCAGGGCATGGCATGGTTTTGGCTCATCGGCAACAACAACAACAACAACATCAACATCAACAACAACATCAACAACAACAACAGCTACAACAACAAAACACAATTTTGTCGAGTGAAGCGTGAGATCAAGAGAGCCAAGAAATCAAAAATACAGCCTACACCCCACCCAAGAGTCTTGCCCAAACAAAAAAATAAACCATCGGAAAGATGTGAGAGAGCTGATATTCGAGCCAAGCCACCAACACAGCGCCACAGCTGCTGCAACTTTAACACGGTAGTTGGGGGTACTCGGTACTCGCTACACGCTACCAGCTAACCGCTACTCGTTAGTCAGTCAAAGTACAAGATCACGCGCTTGCTAAAGGTTAGCCCAACATCTTAAACTACATTGGTAGTCAAAATATCCAAAATAAACAAAAACGAGAAGATACGTAGTTAGTAACATTACAGCATTCTATCTTCCTTCTCTCATGGCCTATCGCTCTAACACGCAATCTATTCCTTCACTCTCTCTCCTATCTCTCTCTCAGCAGTCTGCTCTCTATTGCTCATTCTCACTCTCACTGCAACTCTACCTCCATCTATCTCTTGCTATAGTCTTTCCTCTGGCTCATTCTCTCTCTCTATCCTTTTCCAACGTGCCTCACAAACACACACTAACTATCCATCAATCGATATTTGTATCTTGAACTTGAGACAACTGCGATATCGATGTCTACTGTAAAAAGTGCCTTCTCTACTATATACAAACTAGATAATCAGAACTATTATAT